TAATCAATTTATGTCATATCCGCTAAATGCTATACATCGGATATGAACATTACAAGGCAGGTATTAATAATTTATTTTTCTAAGTGTTGAATTAGATACTAATTGTATTATTTATAAATCCAATGGATGAGACCAACAATAAATAAGTTGGGTAATCATTTTGTCGTAATAAAAAATAAGGTGCGATTTGTTTTGATGGAATGTAAATAAATTGTAACGATTAATTTCATTGACCAATTCCATTATCCAAATTTCATTCATGCGTTTAGTTCATTCTATCAGTTATAGTATAGAATTCCAATTCCACATCTTATAGATTTTGAATTATTTGGCTTCTGTAAGGAATTCTGATTCCATTTTATCTGATCTTTTGAGAAAGACTATTATACACTTATATTTTACTATGACAATCATCACCACCTTAGCATCACCACCACCATCATCACTACCACCATTGCCACTACCGCCACCATTGATACTCAAAACAGTGGCTCGAGCCATTTTTCTCCACCCCCATGACAAACACCACCATCACCACTCCCACTTCCACCATCATCGCCACTACACCACACTGCCACTAATGTTACCGCCATCGCCATTGTTATCACGACTGTAGCGCTCGACATATTTTCTGTCGTCGCCACACCACTACCACCACCTTTCCACCGCCACCGATTAATATTATTATCTTTTTTGTCCCTATGGTTTGTTAAAAACTGCAACTTTCGTCCCTATGTTTCAAAATTGCAGTTTTTCGTCCTTGTGATTTGCAATTCGTTGCTATTTTAGTCCCTGAGTCTACCTTCTACCTTTAATTATGAGATACGAAAATAACAAAGAATTTGTAAACCACAAAGACGAAAATAACAATATATTATAAATCATAATGACAAAAATAAAATGAGTTGTAAACCATAGGAATGAAAATCATAAAAAGTATAGGAACGTAAATTGCAATTTTCAACAAACCACATGACAAAACCATAATTTACTCTATTATTAATTTTATCATTATATAGTATTGATAAATTAAACGATAAAATATGAAAATATCATGTAAGGGTATTTGCGTAATTTATCATTATTTTATTATAACTCTATAGTTATATTTAGTGAAGATAACAAACAAATTTCAATTATTTTAACATATTTCTTTTCAATTTCTGTCAATTAAACGCATGGTCAAATCAAATTATTCCATTCAAATTCCAATTCGTTTGACGAATTCTAATTCCAACATATTCGATTATGAACTAAACGTGACCTAAGTTGAATCTTACACGCTTGCACATTTATGGAGTGAGAGGTTCAAGAAAAAAAATCAAAAAATAAAAAACTGAGAAACACTCCGGTAACCTAAAAGATGAATGATACACACATACCAATAATTGATTTTTTTTTTAAATTTTTATGCATATATACATACCATCTAAATAAATGAATTAGAGTGTTCTTAAATTTTTTATTTCTTTTTGTTGTTGTTTCCCTTTTTAACCTTGATATGTATAAAAACGAAAAAAGAGAGAGGATAAAGGCAAGATGGCCGATGGCCAACTTCGATGGTGAATGGAACCCTAACGACAATAACTAACGACGAACATGGCTAACGGGAAGACGTTGGTTGACAGCGGCATCTTAAGGTGATATTTTCACTTTATTCTTTTTCCCAATTTCTCGCTCAATGTGAGTTAATGGGGTATTCTCATAGTGAGGTTTAAGTATGCGTTTTGTGAGCTCACAGTCTCACAGTTCTATCCATTCGCTGCCTGTCAGATTCATTTACTATGGGTTCATCATTTCTGGGTTTCTGTTCGTCTACGAGGAAGTGATACCTTTATGAATTTTAAAGGAGGAAATGAAGGAAACCATAGTTTCCTATGTGAATCCAGCAGAAACGGATTTAAATTAAAGTTTGTTTTTTGTGGAACTTTTTTGGTGGGTGTGATATTTGAGATGATCATTGTAAAAAGTTGGAATTATGCATTCCAACTGTTTGGCCTTTCGCCAAGCCAAAAAAGCTTATACATGGAAATACGATGGTACTTAATAATGAAGGGATGCAACGGTCCCACAAGCTGACAAGAGTGGATCTTTCTGGTTCTTTCTTTGAGCATATTGCTTTGGATATGCAGGTCATTGATCATAAATGTCAGCTATATAGAAATTTATGGTATTGTTGTAAGTTAGGCATATATATATATATATATATATATATATATATATATAAGTTGATAACAGAAAAAGATTGAGTGGTTGAAGGATGTGGATTAGTAAAGTCTTTGATCTAAGTGGGGCCGCGATAAAATTTTGACATAGACCGAGGCTTCAGCTAGGGGTGAGCAGCGGAACCGGGTACCCGGCTATAGAACCGGAACCGCCTTGGAACCGCCGGTTCCAGAACCGGAACCGATATGAGTGGTTCCGGTTCCTAAAATATGGAACCGATTGAGAATGGTTCCGGTTCTCAATTTTTCGGAACCGTTACCCGCCGGGTACCCGGTATTTTTCAATAAAAAATAATAATTATTTTTTAATACCAAATTTATATTAGGTTTACATCTTAAAAGCACGTCGTCATCTTCAATCTTCATCTAAATTCTTCATATAAAATGATTCGTATTTTTTCAAATTGTGTGTTCACTTGGATTCATAGTATGTAATCGTTAAACTTTGAACAATTACCATTATAGTATGTAATCGTTAAACTTTGAACATTTTCTATTAGTATATTATGGTTTGTAATCGTTAATCAATATTTGTAACCATTGTTTTGTATAATTTGTATTCTTGCTTATTTATTTAGTGTTTTGGCAATGTTTTATTTTTTATTTCTAAATAACAAATTTTTAATATTTTAGGAAGCGGGTACCCGGAACCGGAACCGGAACCAGTTCCTGGCGGTTCCGGTTCCGGTTCCAAAAATTTAAGAACCGCTCTAACCGGTTCCGGTTCCAATATCTCAAGAACCGCCGGTTCCGGTTCCGGTTCCTGTAAAAAAGGCGGGTACCCGCCTATGCTCACCCCTAGCTTCAGCGCGACTGATATGTTCATTGGTGATCCTTTATCTCAGTCACATGATTCCATCTTCATCAGTTGCAATGGTGAGCGCATCTTTTAAATCCATTACCAATCATAAATGGCCATTTGATGTTTTTGTGAGTTTGGGAGGCGATATCATCAAAAGGTTGGTGAACCACTTGTTTAGTTATTTCAAACGCAAAGGAATTCAGGAATTTAGAGATGACGAGCAACTGCACAGAGGAGAAGAGCGATTCCACAAGTCTATATAGTCATTGAACAATCAAGGTTTCTGGTGGTTATATTCTCTGAAAGCTTTGCTTCCTCACCATGGTGTTTGAAGGAGCTTGTGAGAATCCTCGAGTTCAAGCAGATGAAGCATGATGGGTCTTCTTTATTATCTTTCTATTTGGATCTTTGAGCATCTAAATGGAATTGCTAATTATATAAAAAGATCGAGTCTGCACAATTTTTTACCATGTCAATCCAGAAATGGTGCTTAATCAAATTAGCAGTTATAAAACAACAGCAATTAAACATGAAACCTTTGAGAAAAAGGAGGTGCTACAATGGAAGGAAGCTTTGACCAAGGCTGCAACCTTACTTTGATAGGATCTGCAAGATTTGGCCAAAGGGTAATCACTGAATGCTATTCTATCTGCGCCTCACATCTTTTTTCCTTCTTGTCAACTTCTAGTTCATTCAATTTTAAATAGCACTGTTATAAGCCATGGTCTCTTAGTTTTTTTTATTGTTTTAGTATTTCTTTCAAGTCACCATATGCATGTTCTCTTTATAATGGACAGATGATTCGAAGTTTATTGATATGATCTCAAAACATATCTTCAATGAGTTGAATGATGGACCCTTACATGCTGGCGAGAACCTGGTCGGAGTACAATTCACATGATTGGGATATGTGGTGTCGGGGGTATTGGACAGAGCTATTTGCCAAAGCTGTTTATGACCAATTGTATGTCCAGTTTCATGGTTGCAGCTTCTGCGAAGATGTGAAAGCGTTTGTGAAAAAGAATGGCATGATTCAACTTCAAAGGCAACTTTTTGGAGAGTATTGGTGAAAGAAGTAGCATAATTAAACAAATTATGGTATCAAAACAGGTCTTTGTGATTCAGATTAGAATTGATCAACTGAAGTTATTGGATATTCAGTCCTGGGTTTGTATGGTTTGAGAATTCAGATTATAATGTCAAAGGTGAGTAACCTTCAACTTCTGAAATCCTGATGGAAATATATATATTTATGTACATATTTCTTGCATATGCATAATCTATACGATATAATTCAGATTGTTGATCCTATCATTAGGATTTAATAAAGATAGAATTCATGTTGCATACTTTGCAAGGTTTCCCATAAGCAGAGAGCTAATTCTTGAAGGTAGTACAATTTGATTGAGGTTCACTAATCTATCAGAACAGTTATGATGCTTCTTGTCTTGAATTTGAATCCGGAAAAAGTTTAGTAGCATGAAACTGGAATCTCTTCAGAATAAATCAGTATGTGAATTTGTTATTCATAACTTATATAGCTGATTTCAGGTATTATTAAAGCACGAGTCAAGGGATTTTACAATACCTTTAACCTTATAAATATAAACGTGTGTGTGTATATATATATATATTATAATCTCTGCTTGTTATATTAAGTGTTAGATTTCATTAAAACAGGGACCTTATTTCTAATTTCAATGCATACTTGCATTCTTGAAATTAGTTCAGACATACAACAATAATAAGAAAGAGTTTCAACCTCTGCCTCGTGTGTATCTTTGAGGAATCTTTTGCATAAATTGTATCGGTTGGATGCTAGTGTCCTATTATCATTATCATCGCTTTCGATGGCATGTTTTTTGGATTCTTGCTATGTGCAGGTAGCTTTCATTTCTTTGATTAATTGGAGCAGTCACATACATATTACTTTATACCTTCCATCAAAATGTCTGTTTTTCAGTTCCATTATGATGGCATCTTCTGCTCACCAATGGACATATGATGTCTTTGTGAGTTTCAGAGGTGAAGATATCCGTAAAACATTTATGGATCATCTCTATAGTGATTTCAGAAGGAAAGGAATTTATGCTTTCAAAGATGATGATCAATTAAAGAGAGGTGAACAGATATCATCTGAACTCTATAAAGCCATTGAACAGTCAAGGTTTTTGATAGTCATATTCTCAAACAACTTTGCTTCGTCTACATGGTGTCTAAGGGAGCTTGTGAAGATCCTGAAGTGCAAGGAGATAGAGAAGGACAAATATGAAGTTCGGACACTCTTTTACAACGTCACACCTGCAGTGGTGCGTAATCAAAGCGGTAGCTACAGAGAAGCCTTCATGAAACATGAAGCTTCAAATAGAATAGAGGTTTCTGAATGGAAGGAAGCTCTGAAATTGGCTGCCAACATATCTGGATGGGATCTCCTAGATATGTACAATGGGTAAATCCCTCAACGCATAAGTCTGTATTTTATTCTACTTTATTTTATCTATTAAGTTGATTATATATGTCTCAATATTCCTATTTCCTTTTTTTCCCTTCTAATCTGCTTCTTGCTTTTTACTAGTCTTGGTTCTTGTTTTCATTTCGTTTGCACTTTTGTACAAGTCAGGGGTCTTCATGGAAACAACTGCTCTATCTTTTCGGGTAGAGGACATGCCTACATACATCTCACCACCCTACTTTCGTGTGGGACGTACTCGGTTCATGCCTACATACAAGTGGCAAAGTAGATTTTTTCCTTTGGGGGGGGTGTTAAGGGGTCAAAGCAGGTTCAAAATCAAAACAGGTAATTTTTTATGGGGTGGATTGACGTACCAACACATTTTTGCTCATTTCCTTTTTAATTTAATTGATTATTAATGTATTAATGATTACAAAAAATATATACTAAAATAATAATCTAACTTTATTATAAATAAAGCAATTTAGGGGGTTATAAGCATTTGGATATACTTTGGCGGACTTTCAGCCCATTTGACCTATTTCATTTTCAGTTACATTTTAAATTTTTATCTATTTGATTCATTGGAGATAACATATAACCCAATTGACCCATATTTAGATAAATGGGTCGGAATGGTCACCTGCCCAAGTCAGGTTGGTCATTGATTTGGTAATGACTTGCATGCTAACATACATGTTACATATGTTCCTATTTCATGCCACTTTTTTAGTTCTTTGCGGTAGTAATTATAGCATGTTCGTTGGTTTTGTAGGCATGAACCCAAGTTCATAGAAACAATCTCAAAAGAGATATTTTATAAACTAACAAACGGGCCCTTAGATGCTGGCGAGAACCTGGTTGGATTGTACACCCGTGTAGAGCAAATGGACTTTCTGAGATTTGTGGGATCAAGCAAGGTTCACATAATAGGAATATGTGGCATTGGTGGAATAGGAAAGACAACCATTGCCAAAGCTATCTGTAACCTACTGCATATACATTTTGAAGCCTACAGTTTTTGTGATGACATTAAAGGGGTGGAAAAACGACATGGGTTAGTTCATCTCCAGGAAAAGCTTCTTGAGGACCTTATGAATGTAGGCAATCTTCAGATTCGTAGTGTAAGTCAAGGAATCAGCATAATGAAGAGAAGAATGTGGGTTAAAAAGGTACTTGTTGTACTTGATGACATAGATCATTATGACCAATTTGAAGCTCTAGCTGGAATGCCTTCTTGGTTTGGTCCTGGAAGTATGATTATAGTTACAGGTAGAGATAGACAATTGCTAAGTGCTCACGGGGTCGAAGAAATATATGAAGTTGATCTTTTATTAGATGATGAAGCTCTTGAGCTCTTTAGTCTGTATGCCTTTAGAGATAAACACCAAAAAAAAGAATTCATAGATCTTGCTAACCAGGTAGTTCACTATGTCAAAGGACTTCCTCTTGCTCTTAAAATTTTGGGCAGTTTTCTATTCGGTAAGACTGTAGAGGAATGGGAAAGTGAACTGAAGAAACTCGGCAGGTATCCTAATTCTCAAATACAGCAAGTTCTCCGAATAAGCTACGATGCGCTAGACTTTGATCAAAGAAACATTTTTCTTGACATTTCGTTTTTCTTCAAAGAGGAAAAGAAGGATTACGTTATGAAAGTACTAGATGGCTGTGATTTATTTGCTGCCACTAATATCAGAGTTCTTATTGATAAGTCATTAATATCAGTTCGTGAAGATCGGCTTCAAATGCATGATTTGGTCCAAGAAATGGGTTGGCAAATTGTTAATGAAGAATCTGAAGAGCCCGGGAAGCGAAGCAGATTGCGGTTTCCCAACGATGTACGTGCAGTATTAAACAAGGATAAGGTGAGCATACTTTCCATGTTCTACCTCTTTTTATCCAATTTACTACATACTATAACGGAGTTTTCACTCTAATATCCAGGGAACTGAATCCATTGAAGGCTTAGCCTTGGATGTTTCGAGTTCAGAAGTCAATATTTGTGGTAAAACCTTCACAAAGTTGTATAATCTTCGGCTCCTACAACTTTATATCGGATCCTGGAATAAACTTAGAGACATCAATGGCAAAATACGCCAGAGCAAATTTGGGACAGAGACTAAGGTGAAGGCAACTTCTGGTGGGCTTGAATATTTGTCTAGTGAACTACGTTTGTTTTGTTGGCATGGGTATCCTTTCCAGAACTTACCATCAACGTTCTACCCTGAGAGCCTTGTTGTCCTTGATTTGTCCTATAGTGGTATTAAACAAATTTGGAGCGGATCAAAGGTATACCGGTGACAAGTTTGATACATGTATATAGTGTCATCTTTTTGCAGAAGATTCTTAGTTGTAAGCCATTTTCTTTCATTTTTCACATAGGGTTTCAAAAAGTTGATATCCATGAATCTCAGTCATTGCAATAACTTGATGAAGACACCAGATTTCATGGAAATGCCAAATCTTGAAGAGCTAATTCTCAATGGTTGTGAAAATTTGAATGAAGTCCACCCTTCTATCGGAACTCTCAGGAGTCTCGTTGTCTTGAATTTGGAAAAATGCATAAGCCTTGGGAGTCCTCCAAACTGCTTTGGATTGAAATCTCTTCAAATTCTTAATCTTTCTGGTTGCAAGAAACTGGACAAATTTCCTGATGATATGGGCATTATGAAAGCTTTAGTGGAGCTTCATGCTGATGGGACTCAAATTGAGCAACTCCCTTCTTCTGTATCTTCTCTTGGCAACCTTCAAGTACTTTCACTAGGCCGACGAGAAGAGATCCAAACTAAATCATGGGGTTTGATCCTTTGGCCTTCATTTTCATCAAGAAAGATGCACCATCCACCGAGTGCGGTATTTCATTCTTTATCAAGTTTACGCTTCTTAAGAAATGTTGATGTTAGCCACTGCAACCTAACAGAAGCAAGCGTTGATGGCATTGATTGTTTATCGATGCTTGAAACTCTAAACCTAAGTGGGAATGATTTCACAAGTTTACCCACTTTAAGTCAACTTTTTCGACTTGAAACACTTGGGTTGGTTGGTTGCAAGAACATCCAGGCAATGCCAGAACTTCCACCGAACATTCAATTGATTGAGGCACAGGACTGCACATCTTTGCGGGGATTACCAGAGAAATCAACCATGTATAAAAGTAGCATTCAGTGCTTTGACTTCACTAACTGTGCAAAAATGATTGAGAATCAAACTGTCAAAAGCCTGGTTACCATGTTGCTGCCACATGTCGTCTTCTTCCTCTATAGTATTTTTTTTCTCAATTACTATAACAAAAGTTCAATTCTTCCTATTTCATACCCATTTATTGTGACAATTAATGACGTGGATGCCAAGTTGTCAAGTTATAGAAAAATGCCCCATGAAAAATCATTTGATGCCATGTAGGTTAAAAACCCGTTTACCATGTAAAATGGGTATGAAATAGAAAGAATCGAATGCTTGTTACACTGATTGAGAAAAAATATCCATTGTCACACTAAATAGGAACCAAGGCAAACTTCATTACACTTTGATGCATTATGCCCTGCTGATAATGTATTTGCAATCTTCACTTTATAGGGACGCATTGATCCATATAAAATATTGACTGTATTCCTTCCGGGAAGTAGAATTCCTGGGTGGTTTAGCAATCAAAGTACGGGAGATTGTATAAAAGTGGAGTTACCTCCCGCCTGGTGTTATGAAAATTTCAAGGGAATAGCATTGTGTCTTGTTTTTTCCCCCAGAAATCTCGATGGTCGCAAGAGTAGCTATGGGTCAATTGTATATGGCTTCAAAATTTTTGATGGTACTCCTATTGGTAAAGAGTCTCCAATTCCAGATTCTATATTTCAGTACGAAAACATAGGGATCAAGTCAGACCAGATATTGTTATGCTATCACCAATCTGAACCGAACTGGAAGAAAGCGAAGAATTTCATTTCAGTTTGCTTTCAAGTCTATGGTGCAGACTGTGTTGTGAAAATGTGTGGTGCAAGACTGGTGTGCGAGGAAGATGAACAACAAGAAGTTAGCGGTTCAAGAATGATTCAGTGGCTCTCTCCACCTGCTGAAGATGAGTCTCCGCTTAAGAAGAGACACTTTGTGTAATCATCGTATTTGGCAACCTTAGAAGTGAGTCTTCCTGTTCACCCCCATACCTTACTTTCAAGTTGGATATACTAGGTTCATATGGTTTTGTTTGATTGTTAAATTTATCATAAAGTTTAAGCTGCTTATCGTTTTTGAAATGTCAATCAGGAGAAAGTTGATGGCATAGGTGACAGCATGGTATGATTGCAGCATGGATGGAGATGTCCACAGAAACATTGAAAAGGTGAATCTTTTTCTTATAATTACTAATCCCTTTGTCTCGTTAATTTTGCTGAGAAAGACCATGAAGCTTGTTTCGTAGGTATTTTATTGTCTTCTCCATGATAGTGCATAACAAAAGGGCAAATTATAGCTGCCATCAATTTTATTTTGAAGCTTATTCTTATTCTTGTGGAAAAACATATGCAGTAATTGATATTCTTTTTCCTGATAATACATTCTCTGCCTTCAAAAAAAAGAAGGATAGGTAAGTTTGATGGTATCTTTAGATTTCCCCTATATTATATTGGTGGATATTATAAGTTGCAACAACTAATGCATACTATATAGTTCTTTTTTTGAAGTATATAATATTTATATACGGCAAATAGAACAAATAAACTCACACACCCTCCTCACCTTTGGTGAGGTTTGAACCCTTGACCTCCTAGAAGGCCAAAGACTCACATACCGCTAGGTCAAAGGCCCTTTGGTGCTATATTGTTGGTCATGAATATAATACATACCACAATGAGATGCTTTGATCGAGTCAACAATGTAAAAAGAGTTTGACTTTAGTTTAAAATAGTGGGCAACAGTCCAAATTTTGTGGTTTGAAAATGATCTGGGGTAGCAAAAACATGTGTCCTGACCTCGGTTGGTGAGACTACAAGGTAGAGGTCAACGTTGGGGGGGGACCAAATGATACCCTGAAGGGACATGTTTAAGTGATCTAGGCTACATGATTTAGGAGGAGAGAGGTCTAGGATGACATAACATGTCACATGAAGATCAGATGGTTAAAGTGGAGAGTTGCCACAGAGGTCTTGTGCAACAAGAAAGATCCGATACACTGAAAGGGAAATTCTATAGGTAGCCATAGACCAGTTATGTTGTATGGATCGTAGTGTTGGGCAAGGAGGAAGACACATGAGAGGAAGTTGGAAGTTGGAAGTTGCAGAAATGAGGATGATCACGAAGACCTATCATCAGATCATGTTGGACGATATATCGGACGTTGTCTTTCAGGAGTCGCGCATATCACAGATAAAATGAAAGTCTTTATGCAAATATGCAATAGAAAGGCTTCCTTCCAACTTAACCCTCTGACTCTCAAATACATAATCTATGCTATATTATAAAACATCAAGGTAAAACTTCTGAACTCCAAGAGTATGATATTTATTAAGTACCAAGTGCAAATCACTAATGCATTAAAAGTTAGGTTTGTTGAGAATTTTTGGCTTAAAGCATGTTGCACATAGGTCGAGCAACAAAACTTGTAGTGGGCTTCATGCCTATGAAAGAATCCCAGGCTTTGGTTTCAAATCCCTTCAATCAAGGATACCTAAGTGTTTTATAATTTTTCTTTTTTATTCTCTTCTTATTTAGTATAAAAATGTAAGTTAAATCGTTTTACATCCTGCTAGATTGTATGGGTACCCAACTAGTCTTTACTATACAAATTCATGATTTTGGAACTATGTAATCATGTAGGTGAATGCCAAGCGATTCATAGTTATCTCTCAAAAAGCCTTCATGGTTCATAGATCATTGATCAACAATTGTGCTTAACAAGTTTGAGATGAAATAACCTTTTAGGGTAGCTCAAACTCTAAGATATTAGGCTTATTTCCAATTGGTCACTAATTTGAGTTCCTTGAGGTTTTCCAGGCTTTTAACTTTAGGATCCTATGAGATTAGTCAAGGTACTCACAAGCTTGCCCCGACACCCAAAGGTTTATAAAAAATGTCAATCCCGTTAATTATTCTATCATTGCAGACTCGCATCAACCTTACCTTTGTCTCAAGAGACAAAAATACCAGTTCAAAAGAATGATGATGCCTAAACTRGTCACCTACGTKACATTGAACCRAGCTCGAGCATGGCCTTGATRCACCTRGAAYTGCTCTSTGATGCCCAAWKGAGCCATCAAMAGCCAAACATGAGTCAAAAACTCGCCCCCTTTTCGAAGCTGCTGCTGATGGTGCACCCCTCGGCAGTGAGTAGCAGCGTAAACTAGAATCTCGATCCATACTTGACTCACGACTTTCCACATCCGTTTTCTTCCCATCTTTCTCAAAGTTGATGCGAGTCTGCAACCATAAAACAACACAGCTTTGGATCTATCTCCCTTCACTTGACTGGGCGACAATTTGGTACAATCAACTTCAAGTAACTTTCGGCAGGCATCGACCTTTTCGATAATTCCCTTTTCTTTGAAGAAGCGTGTGGCTTCGGCACAAGTGTCACGACACCGGATCATCCCGATACCTATCGGCAACATATTGGGGTACGTCATGAGAAGATGTAACAGATAGTCAGATATGTGCTTGCTTTCTATACAGACATCCATGAGATCATCCTGATCTTTATCGTCAGGATCCAAGTAATAGCAAAGAGTGGTAGCAATATGCCATATAAGAATGCTTTGATCGAATTCCACTTCTGTGATACTCCATAGAAGCTCGTCGCACTCATTCTTGCGGAGCGAAAAACTACCTTTGTGACTACATAACGCTTTCGGATCGGAGGTAGAATCCATGAACTCGTGAAATTGAGTGTAAATCAGATGTTTTAGATTGTCAGAAACTTTGCTGTAAGTCTTATAACGATGCGTTACTCGATACTTATCAACCCCAAAGAATTTTTCGACTTTCAAGAATCGTGCGGGCTTTTCCTCAAGGGCGAGACTTATTAAGTCTAATTGCGTGATGGTATTGGACCATCGGAGTTTCGTTGGCTGCTTCAAGAACGGGAATATGAGGAAGTCACGAGTGTGTTTGTGTTGACTCAGCCAATGATCGGTCCAGTCGGAGCGCAACATAGTTATAGCTGCAAAGATTTCCATTAGGATCGTGGTTGCAATCAACAGGTAAGTTATGCCAATGTCGATCGGTCTGTAATAGTCAATATCACAAAGAAAACCGAACCCCACGAGTACTGTAACAGCAAGAACAACACTCGTGAATCGAAGTATGAGCCCGGAAAACGTATAGACCACGTTTGCCTTGGTATAAAACAAATCGTATGCGAATCCAAGTTCAATCTCAACAACCTCAAAAGCTTTCCCGGATTTTAGATAGCGGAAGTACGGTCGACTGTTATCTCGATCTTCAAACGTGAGAATGAGATCGACGAAAAGCCGCTTGAATGTTTGGAATTGATTATAAGCTTCAGATATCACCTTACCTCCACCTTCGGGATATGAATGATCATTTGCTGGACGAGGGGCATTATGGTCTTCCTCAATCTCCACAACATACCCTTGAGACGTTTTCCATTGATACTCCTCCACGATTTTGGGATAATTCGGACCCGGGTCAGGTGAACCAAGCATCGAGTCACGAAGATTCTCGGTGTTGGCTAACCGTAGAGCCTGAATACGTTCGTAACACTTGATGACACCGGCTATATAAACCACTATGCTTAGTAACGGGAGCCTAGAACAACCTGCACGACAACAAAATCGTATTTATAAGACGCCAAATGTCTAAATGTCCAAATAGAGTGCTTTAGAAAACATAATTTTATATGACCAATTGTTTTTTTAGACTTTTTTTAGATAATGTTATATAAAAACCTAATAGGCTACATAAACCACTACTCTTAGTAAAGCGAGGTTAGACCAACCTGGCCACGACAACAAGAGGATATAGAGAGCGACCCCTAATTGAAACACGAGTTCCACCAAGTGTCTTAACCAAAGCTCGTTGTCCTCTAACGAGTAGGCGGTAATGCTGTCCGGACCACCAAGGTGAAGAAGGAAAAATGGTGCCCAAAACGACATGAGCTCGCTCGTGTTTAGCTTCCGGTCCTGTGAACTTGAACGAGAATCGGTGCATACATCTAAGGAGGTTCGGGTGATGACACCGAGAGCTGCTAATGCAACGGCATTTGCAAGTAAGTAGGAACACCAGAGAGTGATTCTGATTCGGGTTCTTTGATCATATTTCCGAAGGTTTCCGAGTAGAAATAAGAGGATTTGTGAAGCAACACTAACGAAAACCAGTCCCTGCAGTGCCCATTCGTTCCATGTTTTCTTAACATGCTCTGGTATCATCTGAAATAACACTCTGTGATCTCCAAGGCTAAGCAAACCTATAGCTGGAAAGAAGTTACAAATACAAGACAATGATCAGATGTAAATTCGAGGTCATTGATGTTGCAGTTCCACATCAGTTAGGCACGGACCATCAATCCTGTATATGTTTCATACATACATACATATATATATATATACATGTGATTCACTCGACTTTTTGCTTATAAGAACCTTTTACTGAAGAAAATGCTCTCATCTATTTCAAGAATCATGCTTGACCCTCTTCAAATTCACATGTGATTAGTACATTTTCAAAGGCAAACTGTATTTGATAAGTGATCCCAGGTGTTTAATTAATTGACACAGAATTGAAAGATATCAAGAACAGTTTACCTATGGAAGTCATCTTGAAACCAGATGTTGGTGCTTCTGTTAGATTCTGAAAGGTTATTGTTGGTGGAATCAAGAATGGAACATAAGTGGTATCCTTTGACTCAGAAATAAGTGCAGCAGTTCATCATTTGTAGTTTGAGGGTAAATTTGGAAAAAGAATCTTGAAAGATGCATGGGCCGCCATGAAAGTTTATTGCTGTTTAAGAGACTTACAGTTGACTTGACAGGTTCCCGGAAGTTGCACACTGGAAAAAAGGTGAAACCGGGGACCCTGTGCTGGATTTGGTTGACTGGTAAACATTTCACTTGTAACCTTTTTCTGTAACTATACAATGATAGAAGTAAGTTAACGTTTAGTTCACAGAATAGAATCTGTCGGAATTGGTTGGCTGGAATTTGGAATGAAATATGTCAAAAAAAAAATTAAATTGTCTGTTTGGTTCGTTAAATATAATGATGGTGGTTGGATGGAGGCGAGAGTGGTGCTGACGACAACGGTGGCGGTGGGGGTAGGGGTAGGGATAAAGGTGACAGTGGTAACAGCGGTAACAGCCGTTGTCACCACCATCGCCCCTACCTTAAGTTTAAAATATTTCCAACAGATTCTTTGAAGTAGAGAAACCTGAAAATTTTGGGGATTTTTGACTGATCTGGGTTCCAAAAGATTCTTCGAAACTTTATCTAAAATAGAGAAAGTAAGAGGAGAGGGGTTCTTTTTTTCAACCAATAAGAGTCATTAAGATTAAACTCTTTAGGAAATAAAATAATATTTTATTAAATATATTGAATATTTTGATAATATTATTAGTAATATAATCTCCAAAATACAGAAACTGATGAAGTTTATTCTCTTTTTCTAATTTTTTTTTATTTTCAACTATTTTAAAGAAATTTTAAAGAATCTACGGTAGATATTCCAAGAGTCAAAAGTCTTGTATTAACTTTTCCCAGTTGAGTCAAAGACCTTCCAGTCTAGTGGTAAAGGCTTGGGCATGACATAGTCATGAACCTAAGTTCGAGCCTTGGGAGGGGAGTGTTGGCGACATTTAAGTGGGACCATGTTTAGGCTCCAAAATTACCGGGGATTAGTCGGGCTTTGGCCCGGACACCCTTAAAAAAAAGAAAAAAAACTTTTCCCAGTTGACTTGGAAGTTGCATGAGGGACGGTTCCCAGAAGTTGCATCCCTGGAAAAAAAGGGTTCGTCATCAAGTAGGACTTGTTATGATGCGATGGTCAAGACAGTGTACAAATTTGGTTAATTATATAATTGATTTTTCAAAATTCTAATGGTTTTGTATTGATTATAGTGCAAGTTTTTCAGTATTTTTGCAATATTTTCAAAAAAAAAATTCAAAATTTTCAAGTAATTATATAAGATACATCATATCAATTCCCTTCTAAAGCAAATTGCATGGATCATCTTAACTTCTATTCTCACATAATCATTTGTCCGTATCTATATAGAGGGGCATTCAAATACAACCCCTCTAGATTATACAACTGATGCAACTCATCTATCCATCATCCATTTTTTTTTGTTTTTTTAATTAAAGATAGTTACAACCGATCAAATGGTAACCACTAATGATCAAATGGACGCTCATAATTTGGTTGTGATGGTTGTAGAAATATAAAAAGTTGTATAATAATCCACCTATATATATATAGAGGTTGGTTCAAATATTAACCAAGATTATTGTGTTAACTTTATTAACCAATCTTGGCCATTGATTCTTACAATAAAAGGTTATGATTAATCATGATAAAAAGTTAAATTTTTAAATTTACAATTTCAAAGAACATATGTGAACAAAGGGGAAAATGTATTTAGTTAATTTTCATTTTTATGTAACTCCCATATCATTAATTGGGAGTTACAAAATCAAAAAATCTCATTATTTTTATTAATTTATTTTTGTTAATGTAAAGAACCATATGAACACACACACATATATATGAACTATTGTGTCAAATACGAACAGAAATTAACATGTATATGAACTTGGACTATATATCATTTATGAACACAATATGAATATAATAAGAATAGTTGCTACACGAAAGTAAATAAATAAATAAAACAGGTATGAACACAATATGAACAGTTTGTGAACAATAGTTTCTTTATTATGAACACATTCAGGAGCAAGCCAATGTTGAGATATGCAGCTAGTGTATATATGAACACAATATGAACAGTTTGTGAACAACAGTTCCTTCATTATGAACACATTCAGGAGCAAACCAATGTTGAGATATGCAGCTAGTGTACATATGAACACAATATGAACAGTTTGTRAACAATAGTTCCTTCATTATGAACACATTCAGGAGCAAACCAATGTTGAGATATGCAGCTAGTGTACATATGAACACAATATGAACACTTGTGAACAATTCTTTAACAATTACATATGAATTCGAATTCCGATTGTAGTCGTAGACGATTTTATCATTTTCATTCTCATTGTTGTCGATTTGTTTTCCAATAGGTTTATCTAAATTACTCGGACGATATCGAAATCTTTACAATCGGAAATTCTTTAACAATTACAAAATCAATATCATTATGGATAGAATAAATCGAAATTACAAAACATGAACATGTATAAAAAAATATCAATATTACATAATCATCAATTATTAAGATTTTTAGATTTGTAACTCCCAATTAATGATTTGGGAGTTACATAAATGACAAATTACTTAATTATCCTTGTCATTAATATATGAGTTATATGTGAACCTAAAAAAAGATGGAATATGATTGGTTGAATTTGGTTAAACAAGCTATATATATATATATATATAGAGAGAGAGAGAGAGAGAGAGGGGTTGGTTCAAATAGAAACCAACCATATGGTATAAACTATGTGAACCGATCTTGATCAATCACATTCTTTCTTCACTTTAGGTTCAAATCTAAATTATAAATTAATGATAAGGGTAATTTTGTAATTTAACCTTTTTGTAACCCCCTAATAATTAATTGGGAGTTACAAATCTTAAAAGATACCTCTAATTGATCATGAGATTTTTCTGATTTCTTTATTATTTCATGTTCATGTTCTTCTTTTCAAGTTATGTTCTACATATATTGAAATTGGTTGTCTAAGTGTACAAGATTTTCGTTTCGTCCAAGATACATGGAGAATCCTATTGTAAAAGAATATCAGAATAATGAAAACGATAAATGCTTGCAGTCTATGTTCATATCTGCACACATGCACAACGATATTTGATTTTGAAAATGTTCATATATGTGCATCTCTTGCAATCTATGTTCATATATGTTCACCATATGAACAACTTGTTTTCATTGAAAGACACAATCGTTGTTCACACGAACTCGTGACGATGTCATACGGTATGACATTGAAAAACATCACACCATATAAACATAGTGTTTACATTGTAAGACACAGATGTTGTTCACACGAACATAGGGCCGACATATGAACATATATGAACATATGAACATAGTGTTTACATTGCAAGACACATATGTTGTTCACACGAGCATAGGGCCGACATGTGAACATGAGTTGTGAATATGTTCATAATCGATCGTAGGTTACAAATCGGCTGGAGAATATCGGGTTCACGATGCGTGAGGATTTATTACCAAAATACCCTGTGAACAATTGTTCATAAGCAGCCCAATTAATTTAATGATTAATTGATTATTTTTTAATACTTATTTAATAATGACCGTTTAACCAATTTACTCTTTGAACAATTGTTCATACACATATCAATTAATACATTAATTAAATTATTGTTTATTTAATTTCATTTAATAATAACCGTTTGATGATAAAATGAACGATCAAGATCGGTTCACATAATTTATATTTCTATTTGAACCAGCCCCGCCACTCAAACATCAACCATTATATATAATTAATGGTTGATGTTTGAGTGGCTTCTTTCCCTTGTTTTATTGATTGGCCGCCTTTACTTTTTCTCGCTTTGCTCGTCTTTTAGCCACCAGTGGCATCCATAAAATGTATTTTTATCGTTTTCAAAGCAAATAATTGGATTCCTTATTTTATAATTTTAAATTTGTATCATCTAACACAGATGATCGTACAAGTTCTCAAAGTTATCACAATTTAATAGATTTTTAAATGAGTAAATCCATATAAGAAACAAAATAAATATTTCATCATACGTCCCTTTGCAATCAAAAACATGATTCACGTTATGAGGGTTTCAAACACATCCTTTAATCGATTCGAAGTTTCTCGATCAGTCACAATAATGAAAGGTTGCGTACGTAGAAATTATGATGGTCCCAATGAAAAAAATACAAAAGAATTAAAATATTTGACTATTATTGATTATGACGTTAGCTCGGGTTAGAAGAAAAAAATTGTATTCTTATAGAGTATCTGCAATAACTATACATCTTATAATATTTTTTAAAATAAAGTCTCACATGGATAAAAGGTGAAAATTGTTAGCTTATTGTAAGTCTTAAGCAGTGGGCTACCAATAATTTCCACCATGGTTTTTAAGTTGGATTCGAAGTTATTGGGTCAATCTGTTGCTTTGGGCTTTTAGGGTGTTATAGATGGTATCAAAGCCAATCATTGTACCATCGTGATGGTGAGGCAAACTTCATCGGGTATGATGAGTCCTCGAGAGGGGGTGTTTGTAACATCTTAGACGAATCCCACATTGTCGATGACAAGAAGAAAGATTTTAGGCAGACCTGACGAGGACGTCATGAGTTTAAGTCGGAGAGTTTGTAACAACTCGTCCAACATGAATAAAATGTGAAAATTGTTAGCTCCTTATAAGTTTTAAGTTTTAAAAATTTTCATTAATATTTATAATTTTTGTGGGTATGATTCTTTGGTTTTGTTACTTGTGATGGGCAAAGAGTCTGATTGTAGAAGCACATCCACTAAAGATATCAATTCAATTTTGGCATCTACATAATGTTTTATCAAAGGGATAATTACAAAAATGACCCTTTTGATTTGAAACCTACCACAAAAATGACCCATTTTCCGAAAATTATACAAGATGACCACACATTTCGCATACGATTTCATTTTCACCAACAAAGGAAGATTCAGAGCCAAAACCGTGAAGTTGATCACAGAACATGAGCTATATAAAACTATAAACGTAAAAAAATTATACATTTAGCGACAAAGAATTCTGATGATCTGAAGAGTACAATCAGATCGTTTCAGTTCATCTACTCTTCGTAAAACAAAGACATCATGAACCAACAAGACAAGAGCCAATAAATGGTGTCATATTTTGAGATCCGGTAGTAACAAATACTTGTACTCGATATGGATGACCAACATCTTTCAACTTCATGCTGCTTTTTAAGAAATCAGACAGCTCAGTTGCAGTTATAACAACCATGATTTTTAGACAACGATCGAGGAACAAACGAGAACGATCGAGGAACGGGAGAAAATGGAGGAACGGAAGAAAACAAAAAATTTCATGATTTTTGTTCTCCTTGGGCAATTTTGCAGCTAGAAGATCGATTTTAAGGTGATTGGAGAAGTCTCGTGGCGGGGTTTAGCTTGGAACAAGAT